GGTGGGGTGGGCACAAATAAACCAGAGGCAATAAATGTAGAATGTTTTAAGTTAAAATAGATATGTAATACTGAAATGGCCTTTGTGTTGATTATAAAGTGTCTACAAAATTTAAATTTCTAGGTTGTGAACTTTAGTGGACTCTTAAGAATTGGTGTTTAGTCTTAGCTGGAAACTGGCATGTTTGTTTCAGTAGTATATTTTCATTCTGGCTTAAAATAATTGCAAAGAGCAAATACCTCCATTTTAATGCAGCTTTTCATTTGATGTGAAATATTTTCATTGGCAGTAGTTCACGATGGTTTATAGTAACATTTCTAATATAATTATATCAACTGTAGGCCCCTAAGAGAATGACTCATGTGCCAAATACTTAAGAAATTCTAAATTTCTAATAATATGCTATAGTTTTGTGATAATTTCTTTCCTGTTTGTACTAGTATTTAAAGGGACAAATTTGATTTGTTACTGATGTTTTTTGTTTTGTTTTGTTTTGTTTTTTGGAGGGCAGTAGCTATCAAAATATTGGATGTACATTTCCTTTGACTCAGCAGTTCCATCACCAGAAATTTCTACTACAGTCACATTTGAAAAAGAAGGCCAAGATATATTACACCATAGGTTTAACAGCAAAAAGAAAGCAAACAATTTAAGTGCCCATCAGTGAGGGAGTGATAAATAAATTATAATACAGGCACATGAAAAAATACTATACAGCAATAAAAATGAGATAGGTCTATAAGCAATGGCAGAGAAAGATGTCCATGATAAATGATAAATTGTTAAATAAAAAAATCAAGATATATGTAACCAATGAGGTTTGCATGAGTCAATTTGTGTAAAGAGGAAAAAATGTAAATACATATGTGTACATCCATGCTGCTTAAAATTTCTATAAAGATATCCAAGTAGTTGATAAACAGTGGTTATTTCTAGGGAATAGAACCTACTTTTCTTCTTATACATTTCTATGTTGTTTTAATTTTGAACCATGTACATATAAATCCTTTTATTCTTAATTTTCTTAATAAGTGATACACACACATGCACACATATCCACATATACACACACGGTAAAAAGTTCCAACATTATAAAACGGCATATAGAGAAAGCTTAATTGCCCTCCCACCTCAGTCTCTTTTCCTAGAGGCAGCCACTACTAGTAGTTTCTTGTCTGTCTATCCTTCCAAAGATATTCTATGTACCATGTCCTATCTTTAGCATTTAAAATGCTAGTGTCAAAAAGTTTTACAGAAGAACTTTGCCATTGAACAGTTCTGATAATCAAGAAGTCCTAACTCTGTTTTAGCAACTTTATCTTAACCAGAATGACAGCAACCTATCGAATGTCCATTATGTGCCAGGCACTTTGCATACAATTGGTACTTTGCATACAATCCTGCAAAAGAGGAATATTATTATCTCCATTTTATAGATGAAGAAACTAAGGTTCACAGGAGTTAGGTGACTTACCTAAGTTATTTTATAAATTAGGTGACTTAACTACCTGGCAAATAGCAGTACCAGGATTCAAATCCAGGTCTGCACTCAAATCCCAGGCACTGTTATGCTCACTGCTAAACTCTCATCTGAGCTGCCATCTCCATTTCCCTGGCTTGTGTGACCAAGAGAACAGTCATTGGAACTCCATGAATTGCTTTACTTCCCACTTCTTTAGTGAAAAGGTTAGCTTGGAAAAGGAATGCAGATTAGGATACACCCAAAAGGTTACCTTGGAGAAGAGGTGCAAGTTAGGATGTTAGGATGCGCCCAGGCTCTGGAAGGTTAGGAGGAAAAGTGTGGCACACATATGAAAGACTTTTCAAGGGAAAACTATGGTTTGATCCTGTGCCAGCCATACAAGTGCATCTGAAATTACTGTCAAACTCAGAAACTCCCACAGGGGGCGCTAGAACTATACAGCAGACTACATTCAAAGGCATTACCAGCATGTACCGGCAGAGGACACTGCAGACAATGCCACCTTAGATCCAAATTGTCCGAGTTGTAAAAACGGACTACCTTTCCATGCAAAGGGAGGCAATGATCCAGTTTCTTATCAAGCTTCCAGGAATCCATCTGGACATCTGCCTCTCCAAGAAAAGTGTTTCTACCAAAACGACCATGATGCCAAACTGAGAACTGCAACGTCCTCTGGGCCAGGAGAGATTCTGGGATCTCATACTGTGAAAAACAAGGAGAAGGCCAAGATAATTAGTGATAATTTCTCAGCAAAGATTATTCCAAAATCTGAGCAGCCATACCCAAAGTCCATAGTACTAAATATCTCGTTACTCTAGTCCCTAAGCACTCTGAGTTTCCACACTCAAAGCCTCTACTTGCCCCATTTGACAAAAACCTACCATATTACATGGGAGTACCTGGAAATTAATTTTCCTTGAGTGGGTAAGAGAATACTGGAACATTCCAAAAAAGCTGTCGAGACTCCTGATCCCAAATGATGTTTTTTAAATTTTACTTTTCAACTATAGATTATAGTCAACATTATTTTGTATCACTTTCAGGTGTACAGCATAGTGGTCAGACAATCCTAAGTTTTACAAAGTGTTCCCCCCCAATATTTCAAGTACCCACCTGGCACCATACATTTATTACAATACTGTTCACTATATTACCTATGTTTTACTATACATCCCCATTACTATTTTGTAACTACCAATTAATACTTTTTAATCCCTTCACTTTTTTCAGCCAGTCCCCCTAACCCTAACTTCTTCCCTTCTGGCACCCATCACTGTGTTGTCTGTATCTGTAAGTCTGTTTCTATTTTGTTTGTTTATTTTGTGTATGTTTTTTAACTCTGGCTGAATCCCATGGTATTCCCCTCACTTGAATAATCTACTCAAACTTCCTGCTTCCATTCTTGATTGTCCTCTCTCACTACCACCTACCAGGTCCTGCTCCTGCTCCAGGCAATCCCCGCGTGGCTGAAAGAGCACTGGATTTGGAATTGGGCATGCAGCCTTCTCACTCTCTGTGTGTCTTTACACACATGGTTTAACCTCTCTGGACTTCAGTTCCTTCATATCTAAAATAGAATCACAGTAATGTCTACCTTGTAGGATTGTGGGGCTAGTAATGGGCTAAACTAATCCTTCATTCAGTTTGGGTTCTTTGGATGGGCTGCTGGGAAAATTGAGGCCACTCAAGGGCCCTTAACCTGCTACAAGTTCAGATTTCTTAGGATATATTACTAGAAGTGGGCACTGGGTGGGAAGCAGCTTCATTTTTAATTTTTTGAAGAAACTACATACTGTTTTCCACAGTGGCTGAACTAGTTTGCATTCCTACCAATAGTTCACCAGGGGTACCTTCTCTCCACATCCTCACCAGCGCTTGTTTTTTAATTTATTGATGATACTATTCTGACAGGCATGAGGTGGTGTCTCAATGTGGTTTTAATTTTCATCTCTCTGATGATTAGTGACGTTGAGCATTTTTTTTCATGTGTATTGGCCATCTGTGTGTCCTCTTTGGAGAAGAGTCTATTCAGGTCTTTTCCTCGTTTTTTTAATTAGATTGATTGTTTCTTTGGTGTTGAATTGCTTAAGTTTTTTATAAATTTTGGAAATTAAGCCATTATCAGATGTATCATCGGCAAATATGTTCTCTCATTCAGTGTGTTCCCTTTTCATTTTGCTGATGGTTTCTTTTGCTGTGCAAAAGCTTTTTAGTTTGATGAATCCCATTTGTTTATTTTTTTCCTGTTTCCCTAGCCTGAGGAGATATATTGGCAAAAATATGAATGTCTGAAATTTTACTGCCTATATTTTCTTCTGGGATTTTTATGGTTTCACAACTTACATTTAAGTCTTTAATGCATTTTTAGTTTATTCTTGTGTATGGTGTAAGTTGGTGGTCTAGTTTCCTGTTTTGTTTGCATCTGTCCAATTTTCCCAACACCATTTATTAAATAGACTGTATTTGCCTCATTGTATGTTCTTGTTTCCTTTGTCAAATATTAATTGACCATAAAGGTGTGGGCTTATTTCTGTGCTCTCTATTCTGTTCCACTGATCTATATACCTGTTCTTGTGCAAAAACCATGCTGTTTTGATTACTATGGTCTTGTAGAATGGTTTAATATCAGGTCCTCTCTTTTTCCCGATGACTTGATTAAAGGTTTATCAATCTTGTTTATCATTTTAAAGCACCCGCTCTTGGCTTCATTGATCTTTTGTTTCTTTTTTTAAAAGACACATTTATTCATCATGATCATACTGTTACATTTAGCAATCAACATGGGTGCAAAAGAAAAGTACATATTAAAACCCTTTGTTGGAATGCTTTATATTTTCCACCGAACAGAAACTAAAATAACCTATTATATAGGTAGTCACAAATATTGTCCTCAAGTTTTTTGCCCATACACATGAGTATTGTCTAAAACACATCTTCTTGGTAGCAGCTAGGTCCTGCCACCACTGTGCTTGACCGAGTCCACAAATCTGTTGTAACATGTAGCTTCCCTGTCAGCTCTCAGATTCTCCTCCCCTGCTAAGCTTTGTTTCCTGTCAGTAATTACAAACTTCTGCCACTGCCATAGCTACTGGTGCTACTGGAACTGCCATCGCCACCTTGGTTTTGTGGTTTGGCAAAGGATTGGTGTTCTCACCACCTTAGGGGTGAGAGTTTCTGCCTCCAAGTTTCCTCCATTCATGGGTCCAAAATTTGAAGACTATTATAACTGCCAAAATCATTGTAGTTTCAGCCACCTCCAAAATTGCTTTCATCATTACCAAATACATTATAGCCACCCCACTGCCACCATATCTACCACCACCATGGCTGCCACCAAAGCCACCTCTAACACGGAAGTTTCCTCCATAACCAAAGTTGTCATTCCCATCAAAGCCACCTCTACGACCACCACCAAAGTTTCCAGAACCACTTCAACCTCTTTGACTGGATAAAGCACTAGCCACCTCTTGTTTAGCTAGAGTTTTCTTACTTCACAGTTATGGTTATTCACATTATGGTATTTCTGAATGACAGTCTTGTCTACAGAGTCATGGTCATTAAAGGTTACAAAAAGCGAACCTCTCTTCTTGCCACTGCCTCAGTCAGTCATGATTTCTATCACTTCAATTTTCCCATACTGTTCAAAATAATCTCTCAGGTGATGTTCTTCAGTGTCTTGAATACCACTGACAAAAATCTTTTTCATAGTTAAGTAGGCACCAGGTCTTTGAGAATCTTCTCTTGAGACAGCATTCTTTGGTTCCATAACTTCCATCCACATTGTGTGACCTTGGCTACAGCCATGGCTGCATCCACCTCCTCCACAGTGGCATTCATGATAAACCCAAAGCCTCTGGAGTGCTTGATGTTTGGATCTCTCATCACCACACAGTCTGTGAGGATTCCCCATTGCTCATAATCACTCCTCAGAATCTTATTGGTTGTTTTAAAGCCCAAACCTCTGATAAAGAGCTTCTGAAGCTGTTCAGGCTTTTGGAGAGACTCTGACTTAGACATGAGGACCGCAGGAGGGGGAAACTGATGTTGCTTACTCGGTGGCATCCACTGGGAGAAAGCTATATTTTCTTTTTAGACTCCATTTTGTTTATTTCCTCTATGATCATTATTTTCTTTCTTCTACTCACTTTGGGCTTTGTTGTTCTTTTTCTAGTTTCTTTAGCTGTAAGGTTATATTGTTTGACATTTTTCTTGAGGTAGGCCTATATTGCTATGAATTTCCCTCTTAGGACTGCTCTTGCTGTGTCTCATAAATTTTGGGGGTGGTTATGTTTTCATTTTTATTTGTCTCAAGGCATCTTTTGATTTCTTCCTTGAGCTTATTGTTAACCCATTTATTTCTTAGTAATATGTTATTTAACCTCCATGTGTTTGTGTGTTTTTCAGTTTTATTTTATTGTAATTGATTTCTAGTTTCATACATTATGGTTGAAAAAGATACTTGACATGATTTCAGTCTTCTTAAATTTATTGAGACTTGTTTTATGTTTTAACATGTGGTCTATTCTACCAAAAAGTTCCTTGTGCACTTTAAAATAATGTATATTCTATAGTTTTTTGGTGAAATGCTCCAAAAACATCTATTAAATCCATCTGGTCTAATGTGTCATTTAAGGCCACTGTTTCCTTGTTGACTTTCCATCTGGAAGATCTATCCAGTGATGTCAATGCGTGTTAAAGTCCCCTACTATGACTGTATTGCTGTTGAACTCTCCCTTTATGTCCATCAACGTTTTTTTAATATATATTTAGGTGCTCCTGTGTAGGGTGCATAAATGTTTACAAGGATAATTGTATGGAGTGATCTTTTAATCGTTATGTAGTGTCCTTCTTTGTCTCTTATTATAGCCTTTGTTTTAAGCTCTATTTTTTCTGATATAGTACTGATATCCCAGCTTTTTTTTTCATCCATTTGCATAAAATATCTTTTTCCATACTTTATTTTCAGTCTGTGTGTCTTTCGATCTAAAGTGGGTCTCTTGCAGACAGCATATATATGGGTCTTATTTTATTATCCATTTAAACACCCTATGCCTTTTTAATTGTTAACAATATTACAGCTGTCTCCCATATTCCCCTCCTTTGCCCCCCTCCACCCAGCCCCTGCCCCACCCCATGTCTTCCCCACACTATTGTCTGTGTCCATGGGCTATGCCTATATGCATATATATTCTTTGGTTAATCTCTTCTCATCCCCTCAACCACCCTCTCCTCTGAGATCTGTTATTCTGTTCCATGCAAAATATGTCTCTGGACCTATTTTGTCAGTTTATTTTGATTGGAGCACCTAATCCATTTAAATTAAAAGTGATTATTTATAGGCACTTATTCATTGCCATTTTTATTCATATCTACGTTTCTCTTTTTTCTCTTTCTTTTTTTCTTAATAGAGAACTCCCTTTAACATATCTTGTAATACTGGTTTGGTGGTGATGAACTCCTTTAGCTTTTCTTCTCTGGGAAATGCTTTATTTTCCTTCAGTTTTAAATGGTAGCCTTATGGGATAGAATAATTTTGGTTCTAGGCCTTTATTTATCATCACTTTGTTTTGTTTTGTTCTTAAATATATCTTTATTGATTTCAGAGAGAGGAAGGGAGAGAGGGAGAGAGAGGCAGAAACATCAATGAGTCACTGATTGGCCGCAGCCCGGGCATGTGTCCTGACCTGGCACCGAACCCTGATCTCCTGGATCCTAGGTCGATGCTCAACCACTGAGCCATGCCCAGCTGCGCTATCATCACTTTGAATATTTCATGCCAGTTACTTCTGGCCTGAAAAGTTTGTGTTGAGAAATCAGCTCTCAGTCTTATGGGGGCTCCTTTGTGGGTAACTGTCTTTCTCTTGCTTCTACGATTTTCTCCTTGTCTTTAGCCTTTGCCGTTTTAATTATGATGTGTCTTAGTGTGGGTTTCTTTGGGTTCACCTTGTTTGAGACTCTCTGTGCTTCCTGGACCTGTGTGTCTTTTTAATTCATCAGGTTAGGAAAGTTTTCAGTCATTATTTCTTCAAATAGATTTTCAATCAATTGCTCTGTCTCTTCTTGTTTCCATATGATGTGGATGTTGTTACACTTGATGTTTTCACAGAGATCCCCAAGTCTTCATTAAAAATTTTTTTTTTTCTTTTTAATGCTCTGATTGGGTGTTTTCTGTTACACTTTCTTCCAAATCACTGATTCAATCCTCTTCTTCATCTAATCTGCTGTTGATTCCTGATAGTGTATTCTTCATTTCAATTATTGTATTCTTCATTTCTGACTGGTTATTTTTATGGTTTTTATGTCCTTTTTTATGCTTAGTATCTCTTTTTTATAAATTCTCACTGAGTTCATCCATTCTTCCTTTAAGTTCCTTGAGCATCCTTATAACCATTATTTTGAACTCTGCATCTCTACATTGTTTGCCTCTATTCCATTTATTTTCTATTCTGGAGATTTCTTCTTTTATTTTATTTGGGACATGTTTCTTTATCTCCCAATTTTGGCTGTCTCTCTGTGTTTGTTTCTACATATTCAGTAGATAAGCTACTTCTCCCAGTTTTTGTAGGGTTGTCTTATGTAGTAGGTGTTCTGTGGGTCTTAACAGTGCAGTCTCCATGATTATCTGAGCTGGGTGATTTAGGAGTGTCTCTTGTGTGGGTTATGTGATCCCTCCTGTTGTTGCTGAGTCTTGAATGCTGTTGGCCCGACTATGAGTGGAGTTGACCCTCAGGCTGGCTGCCTATGAGGATTGACTCCGACCACAGTGTATGAGCTGCTGACCCCATGAGGAGGAACTTACAAGTGCAGGTTTTGGTGCATGCCAAGTCCTCCCTTTCTGTGTGCGACTTGTGGAGCTAATCAGATCATGTTCTGATGTGGTCTGAAGCTAGCCATCAATGTGTTGGTTCTGGGGCCTCCTGGGAGGGACACCAGTAGATGTCAATTTCAGACAGTCTGCAGCTGGTCCTGGGCTACCTGTTAGGAGCCACAAGGCAATCCATAGTTGGTAACTCCCCTCCTGGGACTAGTTCCTTATTGGAGGGGCCAAGCTGTGCGCCAAGGCTGGCTGACACCAATACTGAGTCTGGGGCAGATCACCAAAAGTCCCAAGGACCCTGAAACTCACCACTACCTGCTGGTTGCCTGTTAGACTCAGCCTCTAAAAGAGTCTCTGGCACTACATGAGTTGCATGAGGTAGGTTCTTACAGAGTTACCAGGTAGGGGTGAGTGTTTCATACAGATTCAAAGTAGGCACCAGTGCTAAGTCTAAACCCACTTAGCAAAAGTCTCAGGGTATGCCAAAGCCAGCTGCTATCTGCCTGAGGCCTGCAGGCCTTTGCAGTGGGGAAAGCCCTAAGGGAGTTGGCAGAGAGGGGCTAGTGTTTCTCCCTAGGCTGATGCTATGGGATCATGGAGACCAGCCAAACACAGGAACGGTGGTGCCTTCTCATGCGTATGGGGAAAAATGGCCCTCACCCAAAAGCCACAAACTCAGTCTCTCCCTGTGTGTCTCTGGCATTCCCTGAGTTTGTCTGAACTTCCTTGAGAGTTTTTCAAGAAAGACTGCAATGCAGGTTCAGGCTGGAGGCTGTGAGCAGATTTCTCCACTGTGAGCTATCTTGGCAGAGTGGAGCCTCAGGTAGTCAGTGGGGAGGGGCTAGTGCATCTTTCCTGGCTAATGCCATATGGAGGGGAGTGCTCGACCTAGGAAAGATGGCATCTGTGGGGGGTATAAAAGAGAGACCCAGCACAAGTACACCAGCAGCTGTCCCTCCAGCCCCTTCCCCAAAGCCACTCAACCTAATCTCTCCCTGTATGAATCTGGTCCCCTCTAAGCCACCATCCCTTCCAAGAGCTCAGGGTGGTGCCTACAAGTGAGATTTTGTGCATTGGTTCTTTAAGAAGACTGCCTAGGTTTCCAGCAGTCTCCCATCATACCTGGGTGGATAGAATCCCTGCTGATTTTCACAGCCAGATATTATGTGGGCTCCTGTTCCCAACTGTGGTACTCTGGGTTAGGGAGAGTGGTATGGGGTTGAGGTCCCTTGCTCCACTGGGGGGGACCTCTTCAGCTGAAATATCCCTTTAGATTCTAAACCACTGTAATTGAGTACAGGGCCAGCCCTATTCACATCTCTGCCCCTCCTACCAGTCTCAACATGGTTTCTTCTGTATATCCTTAGTTATCACTTCTGTTCAGCTAGTCCTCAGATAGATATTCAGGTTGATTGCTCTGTAGTTTAGTTGTAATTTTGATATGGTCCTGGGAGAAGGTAAGTGTAACTTCCATCTACTCTGCTACCATCTTTGATCCCCCAAATGACTTTTTAAACAGAGATTTGTGGTAATGTAAATCTAAAACTTCACAACAATCCAAGAAAGCCAGATGACCTTTGTTCTCTTCTCTGGGAGGTCAGGGTGTGAACAGAAGCCCATAGTGTATCCTCAGACACAGACATGGCCACTGAAAACCACGTCAACCAACCATATAGCAAGAGAATAGCTACAGCTTACTTAGTACACGAGACAGAACACGTTTCCCTTCCCTCCAGGTCTAGATACTTACTCTGAAGATCTCATTGTATAGTGGATTTATGGTGTCCCGCTTGATACTGGTTTTTCTTTTTCCTTGCCGGGACTTGTCAGGCAGTAGATAAGTCTTCACATATCTGGAAACCAAGGAGAGTACTGAGTAATTCACTCTTTTCTCAATCCATTCTTTACTTCCCTGCTCTCCATATACATATATGCCATGAGGAAATTAAAATGTCACATCAAGCCCTCTTAGATATGCCATTCTTGCATTTTCCCAATCCTGGTCCCTTTCCCACATCTCTCCTAACCACTCTCAATCACACATCCTTCCCAGGAAGTGATAATCTCAGTTTGAGTTCCCAGATAGATGCCAGGGTCTGAGTTCTCATCTCAGAGCAGCAGGCGGGTTCTAGAAACACTCACGGATTAGAGCGCTTCTTGGCTTCATCGGCATAAGCCAGCTGTTGGCACTCCTTCACGTGGATGACCAAAGTCTGTGTTTGCTGCTCATACTTCAGGGAAAAGGCAATCTTGCCAGTAACAGAGATGTTCCCGAAATCGCCAGCTTCACTATAGATGCTCATCGTGCTGCCTATTGTACTCTGAAGATAAAGCACCCACAAACATCTGGGGAAGGCATACTCCCCCATCCACATGGTTCCCATCTTCCCTCATGATAAAATTACAGTCATTGAATAAAACAAAAGTTTCAAAAGTCCCTACAACAAGCCACTACTGCCAACAATCTTGTACTCAGAGTGTAAGAGACATCTAGGAGCACTCTCACAGTCCTTCAGGCTAATAAATCAGCTCATGGCTCGCATAGGCTCTTAGCTTCTCCTCTTCCCCTCTTTTTACACATTTTATTGTTAATTTTCACCTGCTCCAGAAGGCGGGCAAGGTATAGAGGTAAGGTGGATGTAAGTTCATTTTTGGTATATGTTACATATGCTAAAACATTGGCTAGAAGGAGACAGTTACTAATGAAAACAAAGTGCCTTAATTCTCTGTGGGTTTCTTTCATTTATCTTATTCCTATCAAGGGCTATAGAAAAAAAGTGAATGAATCAGAATTGGGAAGAAAATCCCATCAGAGGTAAAAAGACATCTTCCTCTCAGGTAGTGATAAACTCACAAGTCTATTATTCTCTTCCTGTGTGTGAGCAGGAACAAACTGGGACCACCCTGGGTCCGGACTCTTGTTCCTCCTAAACATCAGTCTTCATACTTATGATGTAACTAGGTCCTGATTCTTAAATGTTCTTTTAATTTCATGATTCTGATTGGTATTGTTGCTCCTTAATCATACCCTGATTCCAATTAATCCTGCCAGGGCCCTTCTCATGAGACTCCCTACTCTTGAATGTGAGATCTGGGTTGGGCTCTAATGAAGCAATCTGACCTTGCTAACTTCATGGTAAGTAACTCTTAGGAAAGTAACTCTTTCCAAAGTAACTCTTTAGGAAAGAAGTTACAGGTTACTGTTCACAAAGCTGTGATGAGGCACGCCTCTAGCCCTAATTCTTACCTGACATAATAATCTCTAGGGCAGAGGCTGAGGAAGTCACCTAGCTGTGCAGGAAGCAACTGCGGTCTAAAATTGAGGACAGGAACGAACGCATCTAGGTTACCTGGAAAGAGTGACTAGAATGATTTCCCCAGGTCCTGATTCTGCTCCAAGGTGGTGCTTCCTTCCTTCCTGGTATCCAAACATGTCTACAGTCAAAGAAATAATAGAACTTACCATGGAGGAGCCACTTCGAAGGCTGCTTCTAGCTAGTTTCTGGCGATGCAGCTTCACCAGGTGGTCAATGTCTTCTTCTTCTTCCTCCTCTTCCTCTTCCTAAAGCAATACATATAAACTTAGAGTTAATAAAATTAAGCAATAGCTCAAAGACTAACATCCTTCCTTTAGTTGGAGCCATAATTACTGCGGGCGTGGCTCAGCAGTTGAGCATCGTCCTAGGATCCAGGAGATTGCGGTTCGATTCCCGGTCAGGGCATATGCCTGGGCTGTGGGCTCGAGCCCCAGTAGGGGGCGTGCGGGAGGCAGTCGATTAATGACTCTCATCATTGATGTGTCTCTTTCTCTCTCCCTCTCCCTTCCTCTCTCTGAAATCAATAAAGATATATTAAAAAAATATCTCTTTCCCATTTGACTTCCCCAATCCAACCATCCATTTACATTTTAATCAAAATAAGTATTTATTTGAGCACCGAACCATATATCAAGCAATGTATTAGAAGATAAAAGAGACAGTGAAGACAGTCTTCCTTTAAGCAATTCAGCAACCAGATTTACTTTAGCAGTTTGGGAAAATAAAGATTCATGTTGCTTTTTCCTAAATAATTAAACAGGTTAGTAGAAATTATCAGGTACTAAAGTCTACTTTAGATATATAAAATTTCACCTAGTGACCAAGTGAAATACAAAGGTACTTACCATATCCACACTGAGACCAGGGACAGATTTGCTTCTGTCTCCCAAGGAGCTACTTTCATGCCCCACATCTTCCGGGCGAAGATCAATCACAGATTTAGTATATTCTGAGTGGAAGACCAAAATCCCAAATCAAAAAAGACCTACTATTCTCCATACCAAGAACCCATCAAGGGCACTCAGAACTTCAGTCTCAAAAGGCCATGAAGGGAAGACAGCTACCTGAAGGCCTGAAGATTTTTCTGGTGTTCTTCTTGAATATCATTTCACCCTCATCGACAGATACCACATTTTGACCTCCAGAATGAGTTTCCTAGGAAGGAACAGGGCAAGGAAATGAAAAAGACAGTTGGATAAGTGAAAGGATGGAGTAAGGCTCAGGGAATTGATCCAAGATGGCAGAGTAGGTAGAAATTACACTCACCTCCTCCCAGGACCACATCAAAATTACAACTAAATTATAGAACAATCAACCTGGGTAACCATCTGAAAACTAGCCGAACAGAAGTCCCATAACTAAAGGTTTACAGGAAAAGCTACTTCGAGACTGGTAGGAAGGGTAGAGATGCAAAAAAGGCTGGCCCCACACCCATCTGCCATGGTTGAGAATCTAAAAGAGTATCTCAGCTGCCGAGGTCTCCCCTGAGAAGCAAGAGATCTCAACCCCATGCCGGGCTTCCCAGAACAGAGTACCAGTACATGGAAGAAGAGCCCACATAATATCTGGTGTTGAAAATCAGTGGGGATTCTGTCCACTCAGGTCAGATGGGAGATTGCTGGAAACCCAGGCACCCTCTGAAAAAAGCAGTGCACAAAATCTCACTTGCAGGCACAAACCCTGGGCTACAATGGAGGGATGGCAATTCATAGGATTCCAATGTCATACAGGGAGAAATTGAGTTGTGTGGCTTCAGGACCAGGGCTAGAGGGACTGCCATCAATGTCCCTGTGTTAAGTCCCTCTCCCACACTGCACACAGATGCCATCTGATCCTGGGTCAAGCACTCCTCTCCATATGGCATCAGCCAGGAGAGAGCTACACAAACCCACCCTGCCAACTCTTTTATACACCACCCTGCCCAGCTCACACTCAGCTGTAGGCTTTACCAGCAGCAACCAGCCTGGGCCTGCATTGCAGTCTTTCTTAAAAAAACTCTTCAAGGACTCCAAGCAATCTTAGGGGGTGTCAGAGACACACAGGAAGAGACTGAGTTGTGTGGCTTTAGGGCTAGGGCCATTTCCCCCCACATGTCTTACTGGTACCAATGCTCCTGTGTTGGGCCCACCGTAGCATCAGCCTGAAGAACTGCATTAGCCCAACCCTGCCGACTCCCTGAGTTTAGTGGCTTTAGGGCAAGGGATGTCTTTCCATGTGGCTGACAGGTACCATCATTCTTGTGCAGAGCCATCCTTCTGCATGGCCAAATCTTAATCTGTTCTAACCAGATGAACTCTACTGGCTCTACTCGGATGACTCCCTCAGACCCAGTCTCATCCTAGAGGTCGGCAGACTACAGGTAGATGGTGCCTGACCTTGTATCCAGAGACTTTTGCTGAGTGGCCTCACACTCAGCACTGGTGCTGAGTTTGAATCTATATTAACCCGATGAACACCATTTACTCCTACCTGGTGACTAACTGAGAACCTGCCTCAAGTAACTCATGTACCATCTGAGGCTTTAACTACTTGAGCTTAACAGGCAGCTGGCAGGTAGTAGCAGATACTAGGGTGCCTTGAGCCTTATGCTGACCTGCCCCAGGCCCAGTACTGGTGGCCACCAGCCTTGGTATGCTGCTTGGCCCCTCCCATGCACATCTCGGCCCAACACAGGCAACTACCAATCACGTATCACTTTGCAGCTCCTAACAGGTATGTCAGGGCAGATCATAGGCAGCATCTGACATTGACCTGCAACAGAATCCCTCCCAGGAGGCATCAGAACAAACACACTCAGTGGCTAGCTCCAGGTCACATGAAGGCATGATCCAATCAGCTCCACAAGTGACATACACAAAGGGAGGTCTCAGCAGGCAAGACCAGCTGGAGAAAGTCCGCTTTTTGGGGTCAGCTTACACACAGCAACTCATACACTGTGGCTAGGGTCAATCCTCACAGTTAGCCAGCCTGAGAGCTGACCCACCAACAGAGGCCAACAGCAATAAAGACTCAACTACAACAGAAGGGCTTATATAACCCACACATGGGACAGTCCTGGGTCACCCAGCTTAGATGATCAGGGAGAATGTGTCACAAAGACCCACAGGACACCTACTACATAAGGCTAACCTACCAAGACTCAGAAAAATAGCAAATCTACCTAATACACAGAAACAAATACAAAGGGGCAGCTAAAATGGGAAGACAAAGAAACATGCACCAAATGAAAGAACAGTAGTCTCCAGAAAAAGAACTAAATGAAATGGAGACAAGAAATCTACCAGATAGAGCATTCAAAACAATGGGAAATTAGAAGAATAGAAAAACTCAGAGAAAACTTCAATAAAAAGATAGTAACCATAAAAAGGACATAGAAACCATCAAAAAGAACCAGAGATGAAGAATACAATATCTGAATTGAAGAATATACTAGAAGGATTCAACAGCATTTCTCCAAAGAGGACATACAGATGCCCAAAAGACATATGAAAAGGATGCTCAGTGTCCCTAATCATCAGAGAAATGCAAATTAAAACCACAATGAGATGTCACCTCACATCTGTCAGAATGGCTATCATCAATAAATCATAAACAAATAACAAGTGTTAGCAAAGATATTGAAAAAAGGGAACCCTCATACGCTGTTGGTGCATCCACTTTGGAAAACAGTGTGGAGGTTCTTTAAAAATTTTTAATTTAAAATGAAACTTCTGCCCTGGCCTGGCTGGCCCATCCACCGAAGGGTTGTGGGTTCCATTTCAGGTCAAGGGCACATACCTGGGTTGCAGGTTCAGTCCCCAGCCCTGGTCGCGTTGCGTGTAGGAGGCAACCAATCAATGTGTCTCTCTTACATGGATGTTTCTCTGTTTCTCTGTTTCTCTGTTTCTCTCTCTCTCTCTCTCTCTCTCTCTCTCTCTCTCTCACTTTCTCTTTCCCTCCCTCTGTTCCTTTCACTCCCTCTAAAAATCAATGGAAAAATATATCCTCGGGTGAAGATTAACAAAAAGAAAGGAACTTCCTTATGACCCAGCGATTCTACTTCTGTGTATTTATCCAAAGAAACCAAAAACAGTAATCTGAAAGAATATATGCACCCCTGTGTACATTGCAGCATTATTTACAACCTGAAAGATATGGAAGCAACCTGAGTGCTCATCCATAGAGAAGTGGAAAAATAAGTAGTGGTACATATACAGTATAAACAATGGAATATTACTCAGGCATAAAAAAGAATGAAATCTTACCATTTGTAATAGCATGGATGGACATACAGGGTATTATGCTAAGTGAAATAAGTGAGACACAGAAAGAAAAATATCATATGATTTCACTTATATGTGGAATCTAAAGAACAAAAAGAGGAACAAACAAAATAGAAATAGACTCATAGATATAGAGAACAGACAGACAGTTGCCACAGGGGAGGGGTTTGAGGGATGGATGAAAAGGTAAAGGGATTAAGAAGTACAAATTGGTAGTTACAGAACAGTCACAGAGATGTAAATTACAGCATAGAGAATACAGTCAGTAATATTGGAATAACTATGTGTGATGCCAGGTGTGTACTGGAAATATAGGAGGGATCACTTTGTAAAGTACATGATTATGTAACCACTATGTTGTACACCTGAAACCAAAACAAAATAATATTGAATGTAAACTGTAACTGAAAAATAAATGTTTTTGAGAGACAACAAGATGGTGGCGTAGGTAACCGCTGCACCCGCCGCCTCCCGCAACCACATCAAAATTACAACTAAAATACAGAACCACCATCCTGAGCCTCCTGAAATCTGGCTGCACAGAAGCCCCACAACCAGGGAGCTGAAGAAGCACCGAGACCAGGAGGAGGGGCGCAGACGCGGGCAGGTCGGGGCTGAATCACAAAGACGTGCTGCGGGCCCACACCCGGTGCCGCGGTTGAAACCCCGGAGGGAATCTCGGCAGCGGAGGTTTCCCGGTGGAGCAAGGGGTCCCAGCCCCACAGCAGGCCCCCAGCCCAGGGCTCCAGNCGCGGGCAGGTCGGGGCTGAATCACAAAGACGTGCTGCGGGCCCACACCCGGTGCCGCGGTTGAAACCC